GACCAGTCTTTTATCTTTCTCTACCTTGCTTGGAGACTGACCAGTCTTTTATCTTTCTCTACCTTGCTTGGAGACTGACCAGTCTTTTATCTTTCTCTACCTTGCTTGGAGACTGACCAGTCTTTTATCTTTCTCTACTTTGCTTGGAGACTCACCAGTCTTTTATCTTTCTCTCACTTGCTTTGAACGGTTTCATATTTAACATTTATGTTGAAATGTAATTAAAGTGAGATACACTAGAAATGTTCTTGTAAAGTATTCTGTGTGAATGTAGGGTGTGGTACAGCGATTAACACGTCAGACTGTGGATCTGAGGGCCCATGGTTCATATCTTGTGATTTAAAAAAAATTCATGCTCTTACACTTCATGAGTGCATTATAAGAATGATGATAAAATCCCACAACTTGATTTGAGAAGAATTGGAGGTAGATGCTTTTGACATGCTGTCTTCTCTCTAGTGTATCAATTCAAAGTTAGAGATGGCTAGTGCAGATAGCCTTTGTGTAACTTTGTGTGAACTAGTGTATCAGTTCAAAGTTAGAGATGGCTAGTGCAGATAGCCTTTGTGTAACTTTGTGTGAACTAGTGTATCAGTTCAAAGTTAGAGATGACTAGTACATATTCAGTATCCCATGCGAATGTAGAAAGAAATACATAGGACAAATGTCATGTCCCTTGGAAACAAGACACAAAGAACACCAAGGTCACATGTGTAGAGGTTATTTCCAGTTATCTGCCTTAACATATCATCAATATTAAACAGGTCACAAAATAATTTAGGATGATATTCTTCTCCTACATCAACCCAAAACTAAAAAAGAAAGAGATTCTTTAGAAATCATCAAAACAAATGACCTCTCACTGAACCATGATAATGACCCTAGCAACAGCTGTATTTGGCAAGGTTTATTCACCATTTATACACCTGACCAGACTTGACCTCTACCTATATCCTGACATCATTTCCATCACATTTAATCCCTATTGTCTTGTAACGATATATAAACTGTGTATTACTTAGTATTGATCATATCCGAAGAAGACAGACCAATGTTCTGTTGAAACATGTAGTATGTTCCACCATCAATAAAACTTTTCCTTATGCTTATAAATTGTTATTTGCCTAACTATTATTATACTAGCTTAATGTGCTTTCTTACTCAAGTAACAAGTTTTTAGTTTGTAGTCATATTAGTTAAAGTGGGGAGGGGAGTGATTCAATTCAACAGAACAAACAGGTGTGGTTAAGTTCCTCTACCTACATAATTCTCATGACTAGGAGATTACAGCACCACCTATACCATTGTCTTAGAACTGTATGTGATTACAGCACCACCTATACCATTGTCTTAGGAGTGTGTGTGATTACAGCACCACCTATACCATTGTCTTAGGACTGTGTGTGATTACAGCACCACCTATACCATTGTCTTGCTCCTGACTCTAGGAACTAGAGAATCAAGTGAATATAATTAAAAACATACGAGGAAACTGAGAACAAGGTAAGTACCTTGGATACAGCATGGGGAACTGAGAGCAAGGTAAGTACCCTGGATACAGCATAGGGAACTGAGAGTAAGATAAGTACCCTGGATACAGCATGGGGAACTGAGAGCAAGGTAAGTACCTTGGATACAGCATAGGGAACTGAGAGTAAGATAAGTACCCTGGATACAGCATGGGGAACTGAGAGCAAGGTAAGTACCTTGGATACAGCATGGGGAACTGAGAGCAAGGTAAGTACCCTGGATACAGCATGGGGAACTGAGAGCAAGATAAGTACCTTGGATACAACATGGGGAACTGAGAGTAAGATAAGTACCCTGGATACAGCATGGGAACTGAGAGCAAGGTAAGTACCTTGGATACAGCATAGGGAACTGAGAGTAAGATAAGTACCCTGGATACAACATAGGGAACTGAGAGCAAGATAAGTACCTTGGATACAACATGGGGAACTGAAAGTAAGATAAGTACCTTGGATACAGCATGGGGAACTGAGAGTAAGGTAAGTACTGTACTTTAACTTTGCTGTGTCCTTCTCAAACTGAAGGACGAGCAGTTATACCCAAATAACATTTCTACTCACACTTTAAACAACGCTGATGCTTCATTCTTGTAGTATTGTCTCATTACTTCTAGAAATATACAATATGATAAAATGGTCAATGGTCATTCTTGTAGTATTGTCTCATTACTTCTAGAAATATACAATATGATAAAATGGTCAATGGTCATTCTTGTAGTATTGTCTCATTACTTCTAGAAATATACAATATGATAAAATGGTCAATGGTCATTCTTGTAGTATTGTCTCATTACTTCTAGAAATATACAATATGATAA